CAACAAATGATAATCCATAATCTATACTTGCCAGTAAGTAGATATTGATATAATACTACTAAAATCATTGACCAACTCGAAAATATGTTGATAATATCCATTAAAATAGATTTCTTTATTGCAATTTTTATTGTAGTTTTTATTTATTTAATTGTAATTAATTGTAAAAAAAGTTAAATGTCACACACACACTTTTACATTCATATATTTTTTATCATTTCAATAAATTTACATCCTAATAAATAATAAACTAAGAGAACTTGTGTCCAAAAATAAATAAAAGTAAATTACAATTAAATAAATATATAATTATTTTTTTTAAAAATGCAGGAAAAATAGTATGTGAACTGCAAAGACATTTCTATGAATATAAATAATGCAGTGAATATATGCATTTGCTTAAGGTGGCGCTTTCCAAAACATGCAGCTGTTTTTACTTCCTGCTCTTGTCACTCTGCATTTTTTTTTTCTGAGTGAGTGTCCTTCCTTTCCTCTCTCCTTTCAATTCTCTTACCCTTCCAATGAACTCTGCAGCTCCACACATAACAGCTCTCCGAAAAATGTGGATGAATATATCATACGAATGAGCACAACTCCACGCAGTGAAAACTGTTCAAAGATTAAAGAGGGTCCAATCATTTATTGCAAAGTGCTCATTTACGCCACTCTTAATGGCTTCGATTCTTGCCATTTGCTCCTTGATATCATCATATTTGTGCGGTTGCGGTTCGTGAGATTCCCCGAGGCTTGTTCTTACAATAACTGAGGGCGTCCCCTGGTGCGATGAGTTACTGCCCGGGTTGTGCATCATTCCCATAATGCCTTAGAGCATCATTACTGACAATGAATACAAACTTACAAGTATAAAATCCTCAAAGCTGACCTTAGAAGCAATACCCGCTTTTCAATTTTAAAACATTTGATCCAACTAAAAATAAAGACTGTTAAAGCTCTAGTCTCGTATAAAAATGCTAAGATTAAACCTGTTCGCGATTCTTTGATTTGATAGATTTGACAGATTATGTTGGACAGAAGAGAGAAAGATGTGTTTGTATTAGAAACACTCACACAGCAGTCATTTCTGTAATTTAATGCCAAGGTAATATAATATAAACTATAATATAGTTTTTATAAGTAGTATATGCTGTATAATTTGGTAAATTTAATGTTTTTTATATAATAATAATAATAATAACTTTATTTTGTATAGTGCTTTTAAAAGTTAATTCTCAGAGCACTTTACATAAGCAGAATTAAGAAAACACATAAAAAAAGCATGGTCGCAAAATACAAACAAAGTATTTCGCACAAAATTACAAACCTAAAAACAAATTAAAAATAAATATCAAGACATAGAGAAAACCATAAGATACATCTCATTAACAACCACCAATGGGTATAAAAAAATATATATGAAAAATTTAAATAATAATAATAAAAAACCTACTAGATTAACTCGTCATCACAATCTGTTAAAAGGGTCCATTAGGATTAAGCTGATAATTAAGCTGATAATTGGAAAAAATAAAATCATGATTGAAAATGTGATATACAACTTCAATGAGGTTTATTAGGCCCCAGTGATGTGTTTAGGCATGGAGTTAGGGGTGGAAAATCTTTAAATTTTCATACGATTCACATGATACCAATCCATACACAATCAAACGGGTTACAGAAAACACAATGCATTGTAGTCCCCATCTAAAAGTTTAAAATATAAGCATTAGCAGTGCTTTCCCTGTGTACAAACAGGGAAACAAATAACTATTTTAATGAATCTTTTAATGAATCGTTCAAAACAACTCACAAACTCAAGAGTGAGGTTTTACATATTACCTGCAGATTAAAATAATTTAGTTTCGAAATTAATTTTTCTGAAGATTCGTATCATTACCGACACATTGAGATGGTCCTCACTGCGGAACACGAAATCCAGGGGGAGGAGTTGGATCCAGATCCAACTTCTCCCACCTTACATATACCTAAACCTACCCATCTCCGCCCCCTGATCCCTAACCCCACCCCTAATCCTACCCATCTCCACCCTCTGATCCCTAACCCCACCCCTAATCCTACCCACCCCCACCCCCTGATCCCTAAACCCACCCCTAATCCTACCCATCTCCGCCCCCTGATCCCTAACCCCACCCCTAATCCTACCCATCTCCACCCTCTGATCCCTAACCCCACCCCTAATCCTACCCACCCCCACCCCCTGATCCCTAAACCCACCCCTAATCCTACCCATCTCCGCCCCCTGATCCCTAACCCCACCCCTAATCCTACCCATCTCCACCCTCTGATCCCTAACCCCACCCATCACCGCCCCCTGATCCCTAACCCCACCCCTAATCCAACCCATCTCCTCCCCCTGATCCCTAACCCCACCCCTAATCCTACCCACCCCCACCCCCTGATCCCTAACCCACTCTATCCTACACATCTCCACCCCCTGATCCCTAACCCCACCCCTAATCCTACCCATCTCCGCCCCCTGATCCCCAACCCCACCCCAAATCCTACCCATCTCCGCCCCCTGATCCCCAACCCCACCCCTAATCCTACCCATCTCCGCCCCCTGATCCCCAACCCCACCCCTAATCCTACCCATCTCCGCCCCCTGATCCCTAACCCCACGCCTAATCCCTAACCCCACCCCTAATCCTACCCATCTCCGCCCCCTGATCCCTAATCCTACCCATCTCCACCCCCTGATCCCTAACCCCACCCCTAATCCTACCCATCTCCACCCACTGATCCCTAACCCCACCACTAATCCTACCCATCTCCACCCCTTAGATCTGGATCCAACTCCGCCCCCTGGATCTCGTGTACTGCAATGAATGGCTACTGGACACATTTGCAACAGCTTTTTGTACTAATTCAATTCAACTCACATTTATTTGCATAGCGCTTTTCACAATACACATCATTTCAAAGCAGCTTCACAAAAAGTGCATGAGTCAACATTACAATTTAGAGTCATCAAAGATTCAATTATTGTTGTGCAGAAAAAAATATACTTACACGGTTACACACCTCGGGTCGTTAGCAGTGTTGGGAAGGATACTTTCAAAATGTATTTCGTTACAGAATACAGAATACATGCCCAAAAATGTAATTTGTAACGTATTCCGTTACATTACTCAATCTAAGTATAGTATTCTGAATACTTGGATTACTTCCACAAGTAATACATAATTTCCATTCAACTTTTTGCCTGCAACAATAGAATAATGACAAACAAATAATAATAATTAAAAAGAGTTTAGCTTTTAACACCTTTTACATGACACAGTTTCTTTTCTTGGCCATTGGTTAAAAGATTTTTTTTTTTTTTTACAGAAAAACACTATTTCAGTTTAAAAAAAAAAGATTTCAGTGCTTCTGATGTTTTCTTGTATAAGCCTACTTTCCTTATGTAGGCTTCTAGGTCGCTATCAAAACAGCAATCACTTGTTTAGCATTCATGTAAACACTACATTCAGTTTCATCAATCTGAATGAATTCAGTCCGATTGAAACAAAAGGTGTGCATAAACATAATGAATGGCGACTGTAGAAAGCAAAAGCCGAATCCCCGACATTTTGGGTGATCTAGAAATGGGCGGCCGGACGCATTTATTTAGGTCCAAAAAGAAGACATGTCCGGGAAAAAGAGGACGTATGGTCACCCTAACGTTAATGTCAAATGGGGCTAGTCAGTCTTTCAACGGCTCGGGGGCTAGTAAATCAGCACATAGGAGAATGTGAAGTCGCACGTCAACTAACTAAGCAGGTAGCTACCGGATATATAACTATTAATAGCAAGGTGACCAGTAAAACTACAGCAGACGACTAACGTTAATAAAATAAATATTAAAAAAATTACTTTAAGATGCTTCTTCAGCTTGGAGATGGAGTCTTTGGACGCTGAAAGGAAGCAGAGGTTGCACTGCACAGTTATATTTCGTCCCTCTCCCTTCTCTTTCTTTAACGTAAAATACTGTTTAAATTTCCAAGATATAAATGCATTCTTGCTCTGCTGTTGTTCCGGCTCCATCTCTAGCTCCCGCTGCACCTCTTCCAACTCCAATGACTGATCACGCACGCAAACCGCGCATTTTTTTCGTTTTCATATTGGGGCTTCTGGGAAATTTTGAGTTGCCTTCATTTATTTAGAGTGAATAAACTCGTGAAACAGAGAAGTATCGTCATGTAATCCATTGATTTCAACAATGTAACTGTATTCTAAATACCAACTATTTAAATTGTAACTGTAACGGAATACAGTTACTCATAATTTGTATTCTGAATACGTAACGCCGGTACATGTATTCTGTTACTCCCCAACACTGGTCGTTAGTGACCCTATACAATTTTTACAAAAAATTTTTTTGTGGAAAAACAGACATTCTTTTATAATTGTATTTTTGTTGTTATATTGTTTACAATGAATTGATTGAGGAATACTAAGAAGGGTGATGTCTGATTTTAAAAACTGAATGAGGAGAAAGGTAGTGAATGAAGTCCCGGGTCACTAAAGTGTTGTTCTTGGGAGTTTGTTACATAGGTATTAGCACATTAGCTATGTATGAAATGAAGTTTAGTTGCTGTTAAACTGCAAGTTTCACCCAAGCAAAAAGATAGTAATGTAATAACTTACTCTCACTTAAATTGAGAACTGCTCGAGACCTGTTGGTGACTTAGAATAGATTTGTTGTTTGTTTGCAGTAGACCATAGTCAGGGTAGCACCCTTACAAGACGTTCATTTATTTTTTGACAGGAATGAAAATGAGGCTGCAAGCAATGGAAGTACACTGCGTTCAATGAATCGTACTGTTGTTTAAAATACTGACTGTTCAGCTGCCGAAACTTGTTTTCCTCTAAAATAAAGCTTTCAGCAGACAAAAAGCTCAGGGACATGTAGATGTTGTTGTTGTGTTTAATAGACAATGTTGTGGTGATTTAAATATCGATAATGATGTAGTTTGGATTGAATCACTGTTGTCTTTTTGTAGGTATGTCAAGAATTGCTCAAGAATGAAACTCTCTGCAGTAACCCCGAGCACCACAAAGGGGACGAGGAGATTGAGACGACCGCCTCCTACATCCTTCTTCTGTTCAACGCCACCCTGAGCCTGGTCTCCATCCCTCCGGCTATAATGCTGGGCTCCTGGTCTGACCGCGCCGGCCGTCGGTCGGTCATGGCGTTCCCTTCTCTGTTGTCCCTGCTGAGTGGGGGTTTGCTCTTGGCTGTAGGCCTGTTGGGAAACATCAGTGTTTACTGGACCCTGCTGGCTGCTGCCCTCACAGGCCTGACAGGTGGACATGTCTCTATTTTCCTCAGCTCCTTCAGCTACCTGGCCGACTTGACCATGGGCTCCAGCTCCAGTCGCACTTTACGTATGGCCGTGGCCGAGTCCATGATCTTTGTCGGCGGTACAGTGGGCTTCCTGCTTGGTGGATTTTTGGAGCAAGAACTTGGGGTCAAGGCAGCGTTCGGGGCTTACATTGGCTGCCACGTCCTGGCATTACTTTATATTGCGCTTTGGCTGAGAGACCCTCCGACGGGGAAAAATACATGCATATCTGCCTATAAAGAGGACACAGCTGAGCAATGTTCTCCAGAAGACCAGTCTCGGCTGTATATCCTAAAGTACGCCAAGCTGTCTTTCAAAGCAGTGTTCAAGAGGAGGTCAGGGCAGGAGAGACTGAAATTGCACTTTCTCATTCTCTGCACCTTCATAAATAACCTGGTGGCTGTTGGTCAGTGCAAACACACACACATACACAAACGCACACACACATATATATATATTCAGTGTGTCGCAGCAGTGTAAAGGTTAATCTCAAGAAACCTGTCAAAAATATGTCAAGATCACATTTAACTCCAAAATCCAAAAGAAAAATATAAAAATAGATTTTTTTTTCATGACAATTAACCACATTGTCCCCGAAATACTGTAAAAGTTCCTGTAGTTTATAATAATTAATAATAGGAATAATAACTATTATTATAATTAAATATTTAAATTCAATTAAAAATCATTTTAATGTATTCAATTCAATAATTGATTATTTATGATTTAATAATATTTGTTTATTTTAAATCGGTATACATTATATTATAAATGATATTAATAAATTAAATAATTAACCCTTGCGCCTCATTTAAAAAAAGTTACACACAGCTCCATAGAGAACAAAAATGTCCACGTCAAAAAACTGTCATAAAAATGTTAAGCTTGGGAGCACAGACTTAAGTTTGGTATCATTTTAAAGAAGACCCATGGCAGATTATTGCAGAAGTAAAACTGAATAAGTCAATCAAAAAAAAAGTTATGAAAATTATTTATGAACATTATTTTATATAAAATATATATTTTATAAAACAAGTTCAACTCAAAAACGGCTAGAAAATCAAAGCCATTAATATAACTAAGTTGTGTTCCAAATTTGAGTAAGATATCTAAAAAAATGAGCTTTCAGTAAGATTTTGTTTGGGTGCAGTAACAGATTTTCCCCATTGGATGCCATGCAGCAAAACTCCACTGGTGCACACAGTGATTGGATTTTAGATTTGCAGTTGAGTTTTTCCTCTCTCAATATTACAAACACACACACATATATATTTTTTTTATAACACACATACCAACCACACTCTGACATCCATACCAACACACCCACACAAATATCGTTGCATAATTTATCCAATTGGCTCTATAATATGCCGGAGCAGAAAACAGGAATAAAGCGAGAATTTGCTTTATAGACCAAACCTGAAAAAATGGCACCATCTGATAAAAAAATAGTACAAATTTAAATTTTGAAGCCTTGCCAACAGAATAAAAGCCTCTTAACAAAGATTGCATCATTTTATAGTTAAATGGCACTGGGATAAAAAAAATGCAGTTTTAATGGGTTTCAATGGGGCCATTTTTGTCCTAAAGGCGCCGAGTATTTTGTGTACCTAGTGGAAAAAAGATTTTTTTAAGGAAATAGCGTTGAAATAGTAAAATTACAATAAAAATACACACCTGTGCCAAATTTTATGCAGTTAGCATTAACACAGGCAAAGTGATAAAAAAAAATAAAAAAAAACTGAAGACCAAAAATGTCACAAGGGTTAAACAAATACTACCACGATCTATTTTTTCTAATTTAGATGACATATTTACATATTTGTATTTCATGCAAGTAAGCAGATATTAATATAATACTACTAAAATAATTGACCTTCTCGAAATTATGTTGGTAATGTCCATAAAAATAGATTTCTTTATTGTAATTTGTATTTATTATTTATTTGTAATTGTAATAATTGTTGTTAAAATGTCACACACACGCACACACACATATATGTATATATATATATATTTTTTTTTTTATATATATATATATATTTTTTTTTTCACACAGTACAACACAACAAACTGTTGGTGACTTTTTATTTATTTCATCCTTTAAGAAAACATTAACTTTTTGTAAAGAGAGTGTGAAATGAAATACATATGAAATAACACTGCATAAACATTCATTTAAAAATAGCTGTTGCAACTTTGAGCTGGCTGTAATGAATGATGAGTGCATGTGTCGGCTGTGTGTGTGATGACCCTGCTGAGCCACTGCAGGGAGCTTTTAAAGCACTCAATCTGAGGACTGTCACTCCTGAGGCCAGAGAGAGACATGGGGATTTCTACAGATGTCTCTACCAAGTTCCGGAAAGTCTTAAAATGAGTTATTAGTGGTCTTAAATATTAGCATCTTTAATTTAATTGTCGTTTATTTGTATAGGTTCATAATTAACGTTCAATCATCTCATTTGAATTACACACTGGATTGCTTTGAAAAACATTGATCTTTGGAAGTCATGCCAATAGAGAGTTTGAGAGAGAGTGGACATAAATAATAATGTGTTTTTATGTGCGTTTGTCTCTGCAGGGGATCAGTCGATCTTGCTGTTGTATTTGATGTACGAGCCTCGAGAGTTTACGACTGCCCTGTTTGGGGTTTTTAACTCTGTGAGGATGCTCTTGTTGGTAAGTGGTCTTGTTTAGTGCAGTAATGCTTTCTCTGATGACTCATGTCTCTCAGCTCACTCTGAGTGGAGATCATGGATGTCCTTGAAATGCCACTAAATCTTTGGATTTCAGGCTCAAACAGCAGTGGCCCTGCAGAACGGCCATCGACTGGACACAGCTGTGTATCTTTGCTTTCTCTTCTTTTGATTCTCTTCTCTGCTAGCACACACAGCGAGGAGCACGAGGACGAGGTTTGCGGTCTCGGGCCACCAAGGCACCGTTGTTGTGTAAATGGGCGGCCGGAAAAAAGGTTTCTGTTTTCGGTTGAAAACGGTGTTGTGTAAACGGCCCCTAAATGAATAACTAATGATTTTTACAACCGAAATGAATCAATGGTGAACTTACTTAAACGTCTAGACTTCTTAGACTTTCTTCTAGCCCTGGTGCTGTGTTAAAAACCCTACAACACTTGTGATGTTCCCGGTCAAAAATGACCGGCCTGCAAACATTTGCTTATAAATATCTCGTTATGCTACCGTATCACCAAATATTGGATTCTATCTTTTTGTCAGCTTGTTTTCTTTCAATTAGGACAGGTTTTGTATTTATTTTTGAAACTGATCGATCGTAGGCCTTATTTATCCGAGCTACGTACCTCAGTTTTTTGAGTGAAAAAACTTTATTTATTACATAAAATGTGGAAAAAAAAATTGCACTGTTTACCACAATTGGGTGCTTTATGTTTAACCCGAAAATTTGTTGGGACATTTTTTTTTATTTTTTTTACAAAATGGCACAGTCACACTTGTGGTGTTCCTGGTCAAAAATGACCGGCCTATAAAAAATGGGTTATAAATCACTTGTTATGCTATTTTATCACCAAATATTAGATTCAATTTTTTTGTCACCTTGTTGTCTTTCAGTTAAGACAGGTTGTGTTTTTATTTTTGAAACAGATTGATCGTAGGCCTCAATGATCTGAGCCTCACCGTTTTGAGGATAAAGTTCATCTTTGTGAAAAAGAAATACTCAAAATAGTTTGTTTGTGCACACACTGTGTGTGTGTGTGTGTGTGTGTGTGTGTGTGTGTGTGTGTGTGTGTGTGTGTGTGTATATGCGAATGCACAAGTATGCATGTATCCACACATGCACAGGTCTGAGGCCTTTATTTTTGCAAGCCCACATTGTACATATGTGAACATGGACATGATGAACACACTATTTGTTTCTCTGATTTTCGACTCCCCCATTCATTTTCAGTGGGCAGTCATTTTTGACCAATATAAGTTCAGATCAATGAGGCCTACGATCAATCAGTTTAAAAAATAAATACAAAACCGGTCCAAATTTAAAGAAAACAAGTTTAAGATAAAATAACATAAGAGATTTATAAGCTAATTTTTTTTGTAGGCTGACGAGGAACATCACAAGTGTGACTTTGTGCCATTTTGTACAAAATAAAAGCATTTCAAAACATATTTCCTGGTTAAACATGAAAGCACACTAGTGTGATAAACAGTGCACATTTTTTTCCAAATGACTTTTATGTAAAATTGACAAAAAGATCCAGAAATAATGCTTTTTCCACTCAAAACCTAAGGTATGTTAGCTCAGACAAAGTAGTAGAAGTAGAAGATAAGGTAATGACACAACTCTTAACAGACTACACATTCAATTTCAGCGTCAGTTAATTCAGCTTCTTCCGTGACACGGCAGTTCTGCTCCATACCATACGGGCTGCAGTAATACGGGACAAAGGCACATGTACATTCACATGCTGTAAAAACAAGAATGTAGGTTATTGTGGACAGCAATGTTCCAGTCTTTATGACTGTGACTATAAAGATGTGCCATCTGACATCATACTAAAAGTCTTAGATGAGCAATTGTAATCTCACATTGTGACAATATTTCTTGTTTTAATCTTTATCTCAGTTACCTTTTTTATCTTTTGCTTTGAAGCAGAAACATGCTTCTATACATTTGCACTCTTCCCAGCATGCACTGGGATGTGGATAATTAGCATGATTGCAACATTGTTTGACTGTTTGACGGTTTTACAGTATTTACAACGTTGTTTATTATTGGTAGTGCTTTTGTGTTATTTTATTTGATAAGTGATATTTTTGGTTTGAAGCAATTTGCTTTCCATTACACTACCATTTGGGGTCAGTAAGATTTTTATTTTTTTCTGAAAGAAATGAATACTTTTATTGAACAGCAATAAATTGATCAAAAGTGACAGTAAAGACATACATTGTTACAAAACATTTCTGTTTCAAATAAATGCTTTTATGCTTTTGTTTTACTTTCTATTCATTAAAGAACATATGGAAGCTTGTTTCTGCCACTGAATAAAAACTAAAAAAGGTAATTCCAACTGTTTATCTCACAATTCAAACTTTTTTTCTCAGAATTGCATTTTGTAAAGGTGCCATTCTGACTTTTTCCCTCAGAATGGCGTGATATAAACTCGCATTTGCGAGTTATTAAGTCAGAATTGCAAGAAATAACCTCAGAATTGCGAATTTTTTCCCCACAGAATTGCAAGTTTATATCTAGCAATTGTGATTCTAAATTGTCAAAATTCTGAGATATAAATTCACAATAGTAAGGAAAAAAAATCCTCAGAATTGGCCTTTGTAACTCGACTTTTGTCAGAATTGTGAGATAAAAAGTCGCAATTAGCTGTTTATTTTATGACATGGTGGAAACAAGCTTCCATATGAACAAAATATATCACGCTTTCTATAAAAAATATTAAGCAGCACAACTGTTTTCTACATCGATAATGCAAAATGTTTCTTGAGCACCAAATCAGGATATTTGAATGATTTACTGGAGAAATGGCTGCTGAAAATTCAGCGTTGACATCACAGGAATAAATTATATTAAAAATATATTAAATAGAAAACAAGTATTTTAAATGGTACTAATACTTCACAGTATTACTGTTTTTACTGTGTTTTTTATTAAATGAATTGCTGCGCATAGAGACATCTTTCAATGTTCAATGATCAACATTTTTAACTAGCGTACATTTCTCACAGGTAGCATGAAATGAAGCATATTGAACAAACGATACTGCAGAATGTTCTGTTTTTTGGGAAGAAAGTAAAACTAGTGAATAGTGAGTTTTACTATTGATTGTGGTGTTCCTTCAGCGTGGCATGAGCTGAATAGCTCTGCAGTTTGAGACGGTCTGTACAGCAGTGATGGGAAACAGGTTGAAGGCAGCTTTGTTTTTGTCACCTGCCATGGGAAACTCTTCTTCTGAGCAGGTCGATGCCGTGTCTTAGAGTGACACTTAAACAAAGCCTGCCAGTTTAAAGAGCACCCTTCCTGATTGGTGAGGTGACGGCTCTCCATTTATACCGGGATGCACCACTGGGGCTCCAATCGCTTTGCTGCCTTTTGTGTGGAAGCCGAAGGCATCGATCCTGATGGAACCTATTATACACTCTGTCAGTAGGGTATGTCAGCTAGCGAGCCGCCACCCAATACGTTAAGCAAAAAGTTTTAATTAACCGAAATTGAAAGAGTCAATTGAGGGGAAAAAAAGGAACTTTTTCGAATACAAAGGAATCGCGGAGGGGAGCTGATCTTGTGCTTCTAAAGATCTGAGGCATCAAAATCTTGGCTCACATGGCTCCACGCTCGCGGTTTTTATAAATGGCTGCAGGGCTGGAATTGACTTGTAATTAGGGTGGCGTGGAGTTGGAGAGGAATTATTAAACACTCCAGGCTCTAATGAGTTGATGAAAGTAAAAACACGGAGCGTTGACCTTTTCCGTGGAATGTTTATGCATTCCCATTATGTTTTCTGCTGCGAATCAGAGGCGGTGGCAAAGTCTGTTGACACCGGGCCCTCGCCGGGCAGGCAGGGTAATTAAATCAGAACTGTTTGCATGAGCAGGCAGGGCAAATGAGTCACGCCACGTCTCGCGCACCTCTCACGCAAACGTGGAAGCAGGTGAGTTCGCTTTCAAGTGCTCTCAGCCGTTCTGAGTGAAACAGCCCGACTGCTTCTGACACCGTTTCATCAGGCACAAACCCTGAAGGTTAATTAATGCACTGGTTAGACGCATCTGAGAGAATCTAAATATGTATGGGCTTTGTTTTTATACAAACTGAACCCCAGAAATGTCTAGTGCTTATGTAGTGCCGTGATATTATGCAACTTTTATATTACATTATTCGACATCAGCATCGTTTGAACAATTTCGAATTATACATAGATCATAGTACCACCTAAATAATTGGTGATAAAATACAGGTGAAAAATTCCATAGATTTACACTGTAGGAGGGGGACCTAATATCTCAAAGAGACAAATATCTCTAAGCCACCGCGAATATTAACAATACTCCACCTAAACCACCTAAGGAGCTACAAATCACTCAGAACACTTTTGCAAATGAATAGCAACATTATGGCAAATACATATACATCGACCAAAATTTTGACATCGATACCATGGGGAAAAACTGCCATATAGATATTTTTAATGTTATCTCATATTTTGGCAGCAGGTATAATAGGCTGGCTTAGCTAATATTCAAGTTTTTACAAGGGACTCTGGATTACATTTATGGTTAATGCTTTTAAAGTTGTTTTTTTTAATTATACATGCATGGATCTTAAAGTGAAATGAATTTGGGTAAGCTAACAATGACCCATAGCTGATTAGATAATAATGGATCCATTTAGCTTTTGTTCCATTTACATTCTTTGCTCATTTTCAAGGCATTTAAATAGGCTACAATAGGGTGCTTCAGTTATAATTGACTGAGCGTCATGCCAGCACAGATCTAACCTGCTGTGATGCTCTCTGACAGGGCTTTGGTCTGCTGGGTCTATTCCCTGTGCTGATGAGGTGTATTAAGGAGATGACTTTAGCAAAACTCAGCGCTGTGTTCAGAATCGCCTCTTACGTCCTACTCGCCTTCTCAAACAACACATGGATGGTCTTCCTTGGTAAGTTCCCATCACTCATATGACTCATTTAAATGATGTATTGACACAGTGAAGCAGCTCCTTGCAAAGATATTGTGCATGAAGAATGATCCATAAAATCATTATGTCAAGTTAATTTTGCAGAAGGGTCATGATGATGCTCATTTATTTTGTCCAGGCCTGTTAATTAACTCAAAAAGACATTCAAAATGCAATTCATAAAATAACTTGAATACACATTTTCTATGATAAGCATGTTGGAAGCATGTTGCTTTCTGAATTCATTTAGATATTTTCCTATGGGTGTAAAGTAAAAAATGTCAGGGTGAAATGTCAACTCTCTGATATCATAATGAAGAAAAGCCCTGTGAAATACTGGAATTATTTTTAATATGATATATTACACTACTTTCTAATAAAAAAAAATATATATATATAATTTTATTCAGTAAGGATGCATTAAACTGATCAAAAGTAATAGTGAGGGCATGTATGTTACAAAATATTTCTATTTCAAATAAATGCTGTTCTTTTGAACTTTCTATTCATCAGAAATTCCTGAAAACAATGTATCATGCTTTCCACAAAAATATTAAGCAGTACAACTGCGTTCAACATTGAAAATAATAAGAAATGTTTCTTGAGCAGCAAATCAACATTTTAGACACATTCAGCTTTGCCATAACAGGAATAAATTACATTTTAAAATATATTAAAAAAGAAAGCAGTTGTTTTAAATTCTAATAATATTTCACAAAAGAACTGTTTTAGTCTATTATTTTAGACTATAAATTTTAGTCTATATTACTCTATTTTTGATCAAATAAATTCAAAGAGATGTGTTACAAATAGATTTAAAAACCAGGTAACGCTTCCTTTTACAGTACAGTACTTACGTGTACTTACAGTGTACTTACCTAGAAAGTACTGACTAATATAAGGTAAGTACATCGCTACATTATATTTTTAAGCAACAAGGAGGTAACATCGCTGTTTTTGAAGGAATTAAACTCACAACTTCATTGTTGGTAGAGAGAGACGCAGCATAGACGCAGGTAATTCACACACACATCTCTCTATCTCAATGTTTAATTCAAATACTATAATTCACTCATTCAAATAAACATGGTAACACTTCCTTTTACAGTACAGTAATTATTTGTACTTACAGTGTACTTACCTAGAAAGTACTGGCTAATATAAGGTAAGTACATGGGTTAGGGGTAGGTTCAGGGTTAGTACCTCGTTATTACCCAGTAATTATAATTACTATAATAAGTACATAGTAAGTACATGGGTAACAGGACTGTAAAAGGAAGCGAATGTGATTTACTGTGACATGTTTGTACACGGTAAGGTTTTACTCTCAGAAATTTCAAGACGGTTATAAACAACACAACTGACCCTATTTCCAATCTGTCAGCGAGCATCAAAGCACATCTCTCTTTCCTAAAACAATGTCGATTTCTTTTGTCTGTATGTGACATTTCCCACTCGAGGCCTGACATCCTTCACTTGAGCTGACTGTTTTAACAAGACAGTCAAATGGGTAAATGCTCTGAAATTTTTTTTATTAAATAAAGGTCTACCGACCAGACTTTTTCTGGTTCACATCCTCACTGCTGTCTTAACTCCATGCCTTGTTCCAGAAGGGAAAGAACAGTTCTCAGAGTGGTAAGTAATGATAACATTGTGGAAGGCGGCCACTCTCAGGGAGAGACAGCCGGATCAGAGTTAATACTGTTAATTAAATAAATGATTGAGGAAATTGTTAGGAAATTCTAATCGATGTGGCGGACTAAAGCCTTTTAAAGGGAGATGAGTGGCGGCTCTGATGAATAATCAGTGCCAGAGAAGGTGGAATTTGCATGCTGGTCTTTTCTTTTGGCTGCGATAATGAGGGGCACAGCGGCGGCACACGGGAGTCATAACCTCTATTCTGCTAGTACAGCGCATGTGTGGTGTGTGTGCAGAACCGGCACACACACGGACGTGTGCACAGATACACCTCACCGCATACGCATCAACGCAAATGCAGAAAACATTTTGTTCTCTTGAGGATCTGCTTTTCTTGATCATGCATGATCAGGCTGCCGAGACGAGCGAGTGACTTTACATTCTGAGCTATTAGGAAAAGCCCATGCTCTGTGATCACAATTACCTCGCAGAATTCCATGCATATAGATCAAACTCATGAATTATTAAATATTCCATTTAGATTCACTTACTTCAGAACTGGTTACATTCTTCTAGTCTCACTAAATTAGTTAATTGTGGCTTATGTGTAACTTTAAGTAGTGTTTTTGTTGTGTAAGCTATGTTTTATATATGTAGGTCTATGTATAAATTATGGTTTATTATTAATCTTAACAGTTTTCTAAAGTGGTATTTGTCCTGTGGTTTTGCAGTTGCTGTAGTCGGTACTCCAGCTGGTATCAGCCAAGCAGTGATTCGTTCTTTGTCTTCTGCCATCGTGGGACCTGATGAACAAGGTACCGTGTTAAAAATTCACGTTCACACAAAACATACTAAGACTCTCAGAGAGACACACACACAACAGACAAGAAAGTACTAAATGTATGGTGGTATTGCCATGTTTTTTTTTTTTGAGTAGTCCTTTTGGAAATGAATGTACAGTATGGTGTGAAAATGCCAATGAATCTGCCCAAAAAACATGGTTACTACAGTTTTACTATAGAAACACCATGGTTAATTGTGCCATAGTAAAATATGGAGAGACCATAGTAGCATTATGATTTTTTTTTTTGCTATGGCGTCAAGGTATTTATTTATTTGATACCATATTAAAACCAATGGTAATACTATGGTTTTAGGATATGGACACAGCACTTATTTTTAAATCATGTTTTTCTTTTTTTTTTGTAAATACCTTTTTTGGCTTCTTCCTTTTGGAATTGGAAATGAACCAGTGAAAAGTGTAGTAAGACCACATATTTACCATTGTTATAGTAACCATAGTTTAACTATAGTATTTGTAGTAAAACTGGTAATAAAAATGATAAAAAATGTCAAAACAAAACAGTTTCACTATGTTATGTTAATAAACATGAACTATTAAAAATATAATACCACAGCAAAATCGTGGTTTCTGTATGATACCATGGTAATGAATTGTTCTGAATCTAACAGGAAACACCATGAATATAGTAATAATTCAGTACTATGGTATTACCATCTAATAATGCCATCACTGTGCTTTTTTGTATGATCCTTTGCGTAATGTGTACACGACACAAATGAACTGAAATACGGTGAGGAAAGTGTTTTGACCTTCACCATGACGAATTGATTTGAGTCATGCTTTTATTCTAAATCTTTACTTTCTTTGACATTTGTGTCTGCATGATAACATAGCTAAAAGCCCAAGATTTAATCTCCATTGTCCTTTCACAAATCCTTAATGAGAGGCATCGGAGTATGCATAATTAACTGGGAAACTGAACACCGGCTTTCTCAAAAAAATCATAGAATTATCAAACTCGGCTAAGTGGAAAACAATGCAAGGGGAACAGAGAAACAACAAACAACATCTTGAGCAGACTTTCATATTCATATCCACACCGGCTCGTTTCCACTCGCGCAGCATGCCGCTGAAAGCCAAACCCACAGGAAACATCCATTTAGTTTGTGGACACAAACATCTTTCTTCCCATTACTTCTGTTGATGCAAGAGTGATACAACTGTGAAAGGACATAGTGATGACAGGCCATGTCCATCCATAAATGCACTGTTTTCACTGTGCAAGTTGCCCCTTTCCACTTTGACAGCCTTTTCAATGCTTGTGTCTTAGATTGCATGTCACTGAATCTATTGCAGTTACCAGTCATTCAGGGGCACTCACACGACTTCTAGCTTCGGCGAAGATCAATACGTATTGCATGTTCCAAGCACTTACGGGCTGCCCCGATGCTCCGCGACTCATTCTGCTCCAGTTAGTCAGAGTAGTCACGAAGTTCAGCGTAGCTCAGGGAGATATTTTATCAAAGTGAATCAAACCATTATTCATGCCAACAATCTACTGCACAGACCTCAGTTTCCACGGCCATTACTCTTTCATTCAGATAAAATCATGGGTTAGGAATTTCAGGTGCATCCACCGCATATTAATGAATCGGTTCTGGTTTTATCCAGAAATGTTTAGATATCTTTATCAGTTAGTAAATGAGGGTCACAGACTGACTACTTAAAAAAAATCATGTTTACAATGTAGGGGTAATTTTTGGGCTCCACTAATATTAAAATATTATTATAATCCATCCATCCATCTTTATTATACACTTTAAAGTCCCCCTGCAGTCAATAATTTTATCACTTAAAACTCATCTTTGATCACCAAAATGACATTTAAACTTTTTTTCCTGCTTAAAATAGCTTGAATGTTACTCCACACCCTTGCTTCATTTAGTATCCACAATTCTATGAATATGCAAATTAGCCCCGCCTCCACTCACTCACACCAGCTCAGAGATCCACTTGTTGACGATCACATGTTGACGTGATTGGTTACAAGGTAGTTTGTGACGTCAGAAACGCCAGCGATTTTAAACTGCGTTTTTGAGACTGTCTTTGGTTCGCCACAGTTTTAAGGTGAAAATATTCAGCAATGGTGTTGACTTATGCTTTAAGACAAACCATTTAAAAAATGCATATTAAAAACACCACATAGACATATAAACAACATTAAAAGCTTGATTTTCACCACAGGGGGACTTTAAAGCTGCAGGCTCTAACTTTTTGTGTTCAAAATTGATCTAATAAGCGACTACATCATGAATCAATTTTCCAAACCATGTTTTTGTCTTATTCTGAATCACTATGGTACACCTATAATAATTGTTTATATTAGGACTATTTTAGACTGGTTCGGGTTGCACCGCTGCGGAGTAGCCGGTACCTGCGTGACTCGTCATAAACATAAACAAAGAGAAGTAGCTCCGGCTACAATGTTCTTCCGCAAGACTCATGCAGTTCTGTTTATTAACCGCTATAGTGCCACAAGTTATGGACTGTAGCTTTAAACATCCAACAAAACATTTCCCACCTCATGCATTAAGGCTATTTATTATTTTCTATTGTCCGATTGGATTTCCCAGGGACCCCATGTACTTTAATGCACTATTCTGTAGGTGATTTGGATAAAAGCGTGTGTCAAGTCGTGTAGCCTATCAATATTGCAATTGCACAACAGGTGTTTGGTCAGAATTTTAGTATAATACTTTGTGCCCCATAAACTAAATTAATAAGTACAAATGACTACTGCATATATGTAAATTCTCATATTTTTTTCTATGCTGAATAAAAGTTGGGAAAAACAACAAAAAACCCACCTTTTTGGGATTTTTTTTATCAATCAAGTCACCATAAAATCAAAATGGACAGTTCTTGTTTTTTTTATGGAATATTGCAGTATTTATTATAAATGATTTATCCGTGCACATCTGTTATTTATAAAAAATTAAATAAAAAAAGTGTCCTTTTTAATCTTTAATTAAAATATTTCCCCTCAATCTTACTGTTAGGTTTTGGGTAGGTGGAAGTAGCGAGGACTCAAGTGGACTTGGAAACAAGGGCTTTTTATTAATAATAAAAATAAAACAAAATACAAACAAAAACTACCCCGAGGAGGAAAACAACACTGACTTGATTTTGACCTGACTTGACTCTGACCTGACTTGACTCTGACCTGACTTGACTCTGACCTGACTTGGATCTGGTCTGACCTTGACCTTGACTTGATTTGACTTGACAACACAATAGGAACATAACAGGGTAAAGTTACGACGTCGAACTAGCACAGGACTGCAAACACAGGGAGAATAAATAGGGAGAGCAAAGCAGGTAGGGAGGACAGGTGGGGAAAATGATTAAAAATCAGGTTATAAGATGGGAAGGGCTAGACAATTGTCAGGAGAGCACATGGCACAAGGAAACGTATATGACAAGCCATGTTCTCACACCAAACATGACAAAAGCACAAGCACATGGCCAGTAAAACAAATCACAAGCCATGTGCTAACACAAAACGAGACATGAACACGCAGCAAATGAGAACACTCATAAGCCCCGTGTTCACACAAAACATGACAACATGAAAGAACAGATCTAGTGTAAAACACAATCTGCGTGCTACACAGTACAAGACAAAAAATGACACGAAGGCACATGAAACAAGGCACACAGAAAAGACAAAACAGGAGTGTCAGGGCTCTGTCACAAAACCAAGAAATAGACTAGACAGAAGTGACGGAACCCTGACACTTACAGCAATATCAAGACTATTGAAACTTCCGTTTCATGCATGTTCATCGAAGCTTTTTGTATGTTGTTATTTCCCACTTGTGTTTCTAAAATGATCATCTTCTCATTATATTAGTATTTTGATGAACTGATATTTTAATAAGTTAGAGGGGCTGAAATATTACTGAAGTGCAAGAATTGCCCATAAGATTTTTTACACTTCTTTTATCTTTATACATATTTTACTTTTAAAAATATTCCAAGAAATCTGTGTTAATCATGTAAAATGCAACAGGAATTGACTCAAATGTATTTCCCACAGCCAACTGAGTCTGTTTCAGCTGAATTTCTCTAGATGTCTGTTTCATGTCTTTATTGACCTGAATGTTGATGTCCTCAGGTGCCATGTTCTCCTTCTCTGCCTCAGTGGAAGCGACCTGCATCCTCATTGCTTCTATGATCTTTAACGGGCTGTACCCCCTGACCCTGACTACTGTTCCTGGGATGCCCTATATCATCATGGCGGTCTTCATGCTCATCGTGCTCATTCTCTTGCAGTAAGCTCATCATTCTTTTATATGTAAACTGACTGCAAAATGTAATATATTTGTATTATTTAGTTTATACACCATTCAAAAGAGACTGAGGGTAAGATTTTCTTACCCTTTCTCTTATGCTCACAAAGGCTGCATTTATTTGACCAAAAATACATAAAAACAGTAATATTGTGAAATATTATTACAGTCCTAAATAATGGTTTTCTACCTTAATATATCGCTAAATATAATTTTTAGCAGCCATTACTACAGTTTTCAGTGTCACATGATCCTTCAGAAATCATTCTAATTGTACACTGATGAGCCAAACCATTATGACCAGTCAGGGATGAAGCAAATATGGTTGATCATCTCCTAATAAGGCCACATATTAAGGTCTGGGTAGATTAGATAGTAAGCAGACAATCAGTTCTCGTAATCAACATGTTGGATGCAGGAAAAAATGGGCAGGAATACACCTCTGACAAGGGCTGAATTGTTATAGTAAGGTCAGAGTATGGCTTGGCATGGCTTGTGTGCTGCCCCCGGTCAGTAGTGGTGAGAATTTACCGACAGTTTTCCGAGGAGGGACAAACCATACCACGGCGACAGGGTGCTGGGTGCCCAATGCATAAAGGCAACAAAGGCTATCTTTTCTGGTCTAAGCCAAAAGAAGGTGGCACAAGTCACACAAAAATGTAATAAAGGTTATGGGAGGAATGTGTCACAACAAACAGTCCATCAAACTCTGCTGTGTATGGGGCTGCATAGCCTCAGATCAATCAGAGTGCCTATGAAGACCCCTGTCCACCGCCGAAAACACCTGCAGTGTCGGAACTGGACCTTGGAGCAATGGAAGAAGGTCACTTGATCCGATGTGTCCCGTTTTATTTTACATCACATGGATGGCCATGTATGTGTGCACCGTTTACCTGAAGAAGTGATGGCACCAGGATTCACTGTGGGACGACGACAAGGCGGTGGAGGGTGTGTGATGCCCTGGGCAACGTTTTGCTGGATATATATATATATACACACATCAACAGCATATTAGGCATGTGGCCATAATGTTAATTTGTATATATATAACTAATCAGCAAATCAAATGGTCAAAATGATCTACTGAAGTTCAGACTGAGCATCAGAATGGGGAAGAAAGGTGATTTAAGTAAGTTTGAACAGTGGCATGGTTGTTGGTGCCAGACGGGCTTTTTGGAGTATTTCAGAAACTGATGATCTACAGGGATTTTCACGCAACCATTTCTAGGTTTTATAGAGAATGGTCCGAAAAATAGAAAATATCCAGTGAGAGGTTGGGTCAGAATTTGGCGTAAACAACATGAAAGCATGGATCCATCCTGTCTTGCATAAACGGTTCAGGCTGGTGCTGGTGGTGTAATGGTATGTCTTGGCACACTTTGGGCTCCTTAGTATCAATTGAGCATTGCTTAAACGCCACAGCCTATCAGAGTATTGTTGCTGACCATGTCCATCCTTCTTCTGATGGCTACTTCCAGCAGGATAACACGCCGTCACAAAGCTCAAATCATCTCAAGATGGTTTCTTGAACATGAACAATGAGTTTCCCACTATACTCAAATGGCCTCTACTGTCATATCTCAATCCAATAGAGCACCTTTGGGATGTGGCGGAACAGGAGATCTGCATCATGGCTGTGGAGCCGATTAATCTGCAACAACTGCGTGATTCTGTCATCTCAATATGGACCAAAATCTCAGAGGAATGTTTCTAGCACCTTGTTGAATCTATGCCACAAATAATTAAGGCAGTTCTGAAGGCAAAAGAGAGTTCAACCTGGTACTAGCTGTACCTAATAAATGGCTGGTGAGTGTATATATGTTTGTTCTACAACATGAATTGTAACCTAAAACGTTGCTATGGTTGCTTAAGTACACATCAGTTATTAAAGCAGGCAGTAGTGTTGGGGCTGTTTTCAAACATTCATATTAGCCCATCTATTCAGTATTTGAAAGGGATACATTAGGACTACAACCTGAACAGCTCTATTCAAATATTTGTATAGATCTTTTCACAATACTTATTTTTCAAAAAGAAGCTTTACAAGGAATAGTGCCTTAAACCCCCAGTGAACAAGCCAACTTGATGAGGCAAAACCCGTGGGAGGAACCAAGGCACAGTTGGGGAAGCCCTCCTGCTCAGGCTGGCACATATTTAAAAGCAAACGTAAATGCATGCATACATAAATGTTCATTTGAACAGATGTCGTGCAGCTACATAATATTCATTATAATAATATTATTTAAAATACTGGCTAATTTGTTTTTCAATTAAATGTCATGATCAGTGTTCTCCTATTGTTTGCTTCCACAATTCACAATAGTGCCTCAGAAATACAGTGTGATTGTTGGCATGGCAACCCTTATGGTCAAATGGGAATCACAGTTATGGTCTAATTTTAATCTTAATTGCTTGCTTAGTGTCTGGGATAATTGTATTTAATAATTGTTTTTAAGGTAGTGACAAATGGAGCCGTAGTTCAATTGGAAATACTGAAAACAAATGATTATTTTAATAGCTGGTTAATAAGATACTCAAATAAACAGATTGAACCGCATTGTCTTTCATAAATATTTGAATTACCTTCCTACCGAATAAGGGTTGTCATCTGGTGTCATCAGCTTTCCTGTAGCTAAAACAGTAGATTGTTGGTGCTTGCAACGCCAAGGTCATGGATTCGATTCCCAGGGAAAGAAATAATAAGAATTTATTTAAATACGAATTAAAAAAATGTGTACTTTGAAATGGAATGTATATAAGTCGCTTTGGATAAAAGTCTCTGCCAAATGCATAAATGTAAATCTGGTGGGCAACCAGGAACACTGTCCCAGGCTCATTATGTTCTTCTGTGGTATACCCACCCGATCACACTAAATGCGTCTGTATAGCACGCAGTGTGTTTATAGTGTAATTTATATGCGAAAATTAGTTTTTACTTGCATAGGATACGCATGGGTTGGTTATGGTAGGTTTAGTAGTGGTGTGGGGTGCGTATGTATTATACGTTTGGGTGTGGTGTGGGGTGTGTGTGTATTACACGCAAGTGAACTGTGTATCAAATGCACGCGAAAACTGCGTATCATATGCACGTAAAAACTAATTTTCGCGTATAAATTGCACGACAATACACAATGCGTGCTATGGAGACGCATTTACGTGAGAACAGGCTGGGTATACAGTAGTATATCCCAGTGGTTCTTAAAGGGATAGTCCAAAGTTCTGTCATAATTTACTCACCCTAATGTTGTTCCAAACCTGTCAGCATTTCTTTCATCTGCAAAGCATAAAAGAACATGTTTTAAAGAATGCTGGTAACCAAACACTTTTGCTTTCCACTGACTTCCATTGTATGGACAAAAAATATATAATTGAAGTGAAAAAGAACTGAAACTGGTTACCAACATTCTTCAAAATATGTAATACCAGGTGGACTATCCCTTTAACTTGTTTCGCTTTAAGATCCGAAAATGAAATCATCGGAAATGATTGGAAATCAATTGCCAAATCAACATGGCAGCAAAATTGTTTATCATACTTAATAATTTACAGTTTCAAATGATAACGGTAATTAATGTGATCTTTTAATGCAAAGTTCTTGTTAATATTGTATGCTACGTACTGTAGTGGGCTTAATATGTGTTTTACTTTGAAGTATGTCTGCATCTCCACTGGTTTGATTTTTATTTAGTTGGGGAAGATGAGCATGACATTGTGTGCTAATAGCATAACATAAGTACTTGCATTTGTCATGTGGAGAAATACAGAGGATGGCAAATTAGATATTGATCCATCACTAGCGTATTCTTCAGTATTTACAATGAGAGAGGGATGAGCTTAATACACTTCCACTTCTCCACATGTCCCACCTGTGATGTGACCACTACAGGTCTAAAGTCAATCCAGAGATAGAGGTCGAGATTTAAATAGTTGCTTAATGTTTTCAAAAGCTAAATAATCTGGAGTGCTTTAAAGGTCAGTCCTTATTTGGTGATATCAGTATTATAGAAATGACAATTCCCTTTTAAGGTAGTTAAGCGTGGCCACACTGGAGTTTGTGCTGGTTTGAGGGTCTAAGACTGTAGAATTAAATGCCTTGTTTGTTTATCAAACACTTTCTTCTAACATAATAGAGCACTGTTTTACAATAATGTGCATTACAATAATGTGATGGTAGTGATGGCTCTTGATAAATGCTCTTTATGTAATGGTCTTTCCATTTGCCATTATGGACAGATGGGCTAGGTCTATCAAAACACATTAATATCTCATACTCAACCTGACTACATTATGTTACATTAGAGCACGGTGCTACTAGCAACATCAAGGTCATGGGCTCGAATTCCAGGGAAAGCATAAAGTGATATAATGTACACCTTTAAGGCAAATATAAGTTACTTTGAATAAAAGCATCTTCAAAATGCATACATTAACAAAAGTACAAAAGTACATGAACTCAAAATAAAGAGTTATGTAAAGTTATAGAAAAAATAATAGTCATTTTAATGTTAAATCACATTAAACACACAAAAATATATTTTAAATAATGTATCAGTTTCCTTCCTTTTGTCCATACAATTAAAATCAGTGGTATCTAGTGTAGTTTGGACTTTCAAAATATTCTATATCATGTTTCATAAAAGCGGCACGGGGGTGAGTACTGTTGAAAAAGTTTGGGGTGGGTAAGATTAATACTTTAATTAATACTTTTATTCAGCAAGGATGTATTAAATTGATCAAAAGTGACAGTAAAGACTTTACCATTGTTACAAAGGATTTCCATTTCAGTAACACTTTATTTTACAGTCCTGTTCCCCATCTACTTACTATGTACTTAACATAGTAATTGCTGGGTAATAACTGGGTAATAACCAGGTACTAACCCTGAACCTACAGCTAAACCTAACCTTAACCCATTACCTCATATTACCAGTACTTTCTTAGGTAAGTACACGTAAGTGCATATACTGTAAAATAAAGTGCAA